AGCGTCGCAAAGAAGATGAATACGAGGCAGTGAATGCCCCGGAAGTTATCTCAATCAGAGAGACGCAGAATTTATTGTATCAATTGAAGCTCTTGGCCAATGCTCGGAGTTCGGGTCGATTATTGGAGTGTACAATTGATTTAAACAGCGCGTTTGTTGATTTCCAACGGAGAGCCAAGCTGAGACAAAAGCCGATTTATGATTTTGCTAAAAATAAATTTTTCTTATCTGGGATGTTTTTTTGCTATTCTGGAGGGGGGGCACTGAACTGAAATATGAGGCACTCGAATATGGTCATTTTTGCTACAGTGGTCACCAAAGCCACGGTCATTCCGTCTATCGATGGGTTCTGTAGCACCTTGCAAATGGGTGAACGATATTCGCGATATTCGATAAGCGCATAAGTCGAGTGACCTGTCTGACCCGAGCGATCGATGAACACTGTCACCCGGACGCGCCTGTGTGAATGAATAAACTATACTCTCATTTGGCCTAGAGCACCGGTGAAATTAGACAGGCCACCTGCCAAAGGTCATCGTAGCCCGGGTCTAAGGGGAGTTTTTGAGATGCACTTTTAGCTTATGAATTTCTTGCGGTGATGCCCTGCCAACACAGCATCAGGTTCGGAACCTGTCCTTCTCCGGTGTCGGCCCGAAAATCGCACGACCGATTGGGTTCATTTATCGATCGGTCGAATGGTTCAGCCGCAACAAGGGACCTGGTGCTTGCCCAGCTAACCCGAGTGAGAAACCACACCTTGTCTTAGGCAGGCCCAGTGAACTTTGACTGCGCAACAGGAATGCCATCAGCACACGGCTGGACTGAACTTGACAACAAGATCATCACAAAAAGTAGAAAACAATGTGAACCGATGGAGTAATCGGACCATCATACTATCCACATAGCAACATGACATCTTAAATTGAAAAAGGTATGGCTTATGAATCACGTTAAGGCATCACTTGTTGAACTTAATCCGACCAACAACGGTCATGACGAATGCATCAATCGGTTCCAACATACACTGGTAACAACAGAATCGAACGAACGAAAAGATGTCTACAGAAGTTAATGATACACATTTTTCAATAGAAAATCACGGATAGATTACACAACGAATAATCAGTTTGAATATGGAAAGAAAGTCAATGTTCCGGGTATACCCCGTAATAAATATTTCACTCATTTTAGATGTTATTTCCTTCTCACTGTATTCGAACTGGTTCACCTTTATTCTCCTTGAATGGGTTAAAAATGATGTGATTATTATAGCTAAAACAGTTGTATATTACGGTGGAAGTCATATAATCAATTCTGTGGTTAGCCTAACGTTGCAACGGAATGGAGGAATATGTGGAATCAGTATGGGATAATTGGGTCAGAAAAAGTTCCCCTGAAGAAAGGTAGGTCGATTCGGGATAATTAGACACGTAGAACTGGAAAGGGCTGAAAACCGGATGCAATATGCCGACAATAGGCTGAGGGTGTCATAAAATATTTAAATTTATGCGATACATACAGGATACGCAGGACGGTAGATTTAAATTCCCTTATAAATAAACAGTTTATAATCATAAGTATTGGGAACAACTAACGGGATTAACCTACTTTTCATCGATCCGGTTTATTTTGTCACCAAACTGTCAACCGATGTTTATACTACTTATTTGCACCTACTACTGTTTACCCTGCTATGTCGCAGTTCGTGAAATTTACCCACTTTTTCGAAATCACGAGGGATGCGACATAGCAGGAGATTGACTGTAATGTCTCTTTACTTCCTTTTTTATCTATTGAATATACAAATGTTCAGTCAACATGCAGGAAAGGAGGGATGGCGGCCATACCAAGGCTGCCTGGGAAGACGGGCGGCTGTAGAGCGATTCGAACCCGGGACTCCCGGGTCACAATTTGGTGATCTAACCCCGTTGCCACCACCGCGAAGGGACCACAGATAGGTGAACGATGGCTAGGCCATCGTAAAACGGAACCCCGATGTCAGAGACGGTTTAGAACGATGACTTCTTTTAGCGAGCGACCGTTATCACCCACGCGATTTCCCCCTCCCATCCGAAACATGAGTCATGCTTCGAAGATCTCAATGATTGCATACGAAATATCGATCACCATAGTCAACGTGGAGGAGCCGAGACTCGCAATAACAAAGCGGAGCATCAGAAACCACGGCCATATACTCTAGCCGATCTAGACAGAAGATTAGAGCAACCACGGGCTCTGTCGATCTTGTATTGGAAAATGCCAAGCACACTACATATACAGGTATCACAACCGCCAAGCCGTTCGAACTGTCTGTTAGGCGATTTTTTCGGCATATTCTCAGTCATGAGCGCTAGTTCGTAAGAGGTGTTCAACTCTGCCGGGGTGTTGATTTTTACCATTCAACTAACATNGCTTTCGTGAACTGAACATTAGAAGTTTGTGGACAATTAAGATGATAGCTGACGAGATTTACCAAAAACGAAGAACACAATGATGTATGCGGGAGTTTTGATCCAGTATATCATTTTAGTTGAATTTTATAGGCATCAGTAAATGTCAAAGTTTTATTATGGTGTTGTGAGATACTACTCACTTGTGAGTAGTACGCAAAATGATGCGATCAACGGTTTCTTTCAACGACCAAAAATCAACAAGATCTGTTGGAGCAAACTGCTGATGTTCGGTATGGTGAATACATGGAATACGCATCTGATATTGAATCGTTCCATCAACTATCCTGTGTGCGTGTGGGAATCCTGCAACCTTGTTCCAAATGAGATATTTTGTGGTGTGATTGACAATTTAACCATATCCTGACTGTGATTGGCGATAAATAACTGCCCTCGATCAGTACTCTTCTTTTGGAATTATAAAAATAGGAAATTTTATCGGTTGCTTTTCTTTTCTCATAGTGGCGAGCAAAAATGGATCGATTTCCGGATCGTAGAAAGATGGGGAATGCCACAAATTATCCTTGTTTCGTTCATTGCTACTAATGTCGAAATTTAAAGTTTGTCGAATTTTCATCCGCTTTGTGCTTGAAAGAATCCATTGTGGGCGCAGAAACAACGTGCGGTAGTAGAGAATCCCAAATTCTGAATACTCTGAGGGCAAATTCTAGTCGATACTTTTCGAGCACTAATTGGAATGAGTACCCCCTGAAGTGAGTGTTAGGCGACAAGGCGTACCATGAACGAAATCAGTGATCAGGGTTCTGTATTATTTGATCCACCAAAATCTAGTCCCCTCGAATTCGGCGATACTGTATGGTGTACAACCCCAATGAGTCCAGTCTTTCCGCATAAGTCTAGTAATGCAGTCCCTTGACCATGTTGGTGACCATTCTTTGTGGACGTTCCAGAATCTTACGACCGCGTTGCAGCCATGGATTCCATGCTTGAATTGCATACTCTATGTGAGGTCGAATGACAGCTGATAATAAACGTGGGGACAGCATAGGTTCGAATCGTTGGCCTGGTCGATTAATCCGGGAATATATTCAATTAATATGATTTGTTATTCGTTGGCACTTATTGTTGCTTCTAAAGGCACGTCAAACTGCTCACTCGGCAAACAACTATTGTCTTCCCATCCGTGACTAACCGGAACCGATCATTGGTTGTGCTCAGCTCGAAGCGTCCTGATTCAAGTCCAACTGAATTTCAAGATAGTGTGCTTAGTAATGACAAGGTGACGTAACACGTGCATACGGTGCTATTCCGCCCGCTAGTAATTTCTTCACTGTCCTTACTGTCGAGCATGTGTCATTGAATTCTCTTCTGTTACAGTTCATTCACTTTCTTACACATTTACTTTTTCAGACGCTCAGGGAACGTCCTGTCCATATGTGTTACCTTCCCCTGGCGCATATTTTGGAACAATTGGCTAGCGTAAGTTCTGTCTCATTAATCCGCTTACTTTTCACTTTATAAAACCATTTTCTTATGTTTTTTCTTGGACTGCACGAAGTCGTTCGCCCACTTCAAAGTTCATCATTGCAGATTTCCTCGCGAAGTGTTTTCATCCTATCTGGCAACTAGGTATAGAGAAGTACTCACCAAACCAACCACACCGGTTACTTAATCACAGTTCTGAATTTGCAACAACATTAGTGTTTATTTGTCCTCTATAGTTAGTTTGTTGTAACCGGTGGACCATAGTTGGCGTACGAACCATACGCACACTTTCCTGATTCTGGCAGTGGTCACTGGCTCGACTGGGCTTCCAGGTATATTGGGCGCCTTGGACATTAGACCGCGTCCAAAGGGCGTATTGTCCGATGAAGTGGACACCGACCCCCAATGGAGTGCGCTTTTCACACACCGCCCCGCTCGCTGGGTTCGGGTCAGGTTTTGGTTAACCGAAGGCTCCGGTTGTGAATTCCTCAAGAAAATTCGCCTGCTTTGATCTGGGCAATCTGACATTCATCTGCTCACATGCGAATCATGAAACGTCTTTTTTCATAAAGATTATTGTACCATGAGTTGTTGGACACAGTCCGGATTCAGACGTGTTGGCAATATCCGACGAATAGTAACCACCGGATAAGTAAGGGCGCCACGAATCAAAACAGCCTGTGGTGGGACAATACGCCAACCCACGTTCCAGACTAGTCAGCAATACCCAGTGCAATCCCGAGCAAGTTGAAAGGCCCCGCGAAGTACGATCCCGGGACCCAATCAAGGAGAATTAGGAAGACAGAGCTTCACCGTAGTTTGTATATTTGGCTCGACCAAAAGACGATTTATGTGGAAAGTTCGTCTATTTTACTACATTTTGACAATCGGCCATCGGTTGCTTTGTGTATTATTGTTGATAGTTTCGAAATTCTTGGGAAGCTGATGAATCAGGGACGAGCATGGCTGGTGGTGCGAGATGAAGGCTTTTGGCCTCAAAAAGTGATAAATTTTAATTTCATGAAAATCAACTGAAAAAGTTAATTTTGAACTGGAAAATGGCTTCTCTCTATAAGGGTTCGATCCTAGTTTTCGGATAAACTTTTCTTTTGTGGCCCGGTTTATTCAAGTTACATGCGTCCATCTACTTGGGGTTCTAGAGCTAATACTATTGTGACCTATAGTAAANTAGTAAAGTATGTTACCATTGTGCCGCTAGAGCGAGAAAGTGGACTTTTATCAACATCAGTCGATTTAGAGAGAGTTCAGTCTGAATTTATATCATGGTTGTCGATTGGTGCTGTTGGAGAGCGATTGCTATGTTCTATGGGCCGTTTTGTTCACAAGATACATTCTAAACAAACTATGGTGAAAGTTTTGAGGGTTCCATAAACGCTTAAATTTGCTACTTTAACAGCAACTAATGAATCCTAATGTGAATGTATGGAGTAGTACGGTAATTTTCAGTGCACAGGGCCGGTGTCCTCTGTGAATGTATAATGCAGGAAGTACTATTAATGCGTACTATTAGTGACAGTTTTGGATCTTTCAAAAACCCACTGCCATGCACTGTTTGGTCTTTAATTTCCTCTCTAATTATAGATCGTTACATTGCTACTTGGTGGTCGTATTGGATTTCTTACTGGTGAATTATCTGGTTTTTTGAAAGACGTGCATGACGTTCAGCCTACCTATTTGTTTACCGTGCCTCGGGTCTTGTCTCGCGTGTTTTCCGCTGTTCAACAACGGACATCTTCCTCCCGGATTGCTGCAAAATTGCTGGACACTGCAGTATCATCCAAGCTACGAGAACAAGAGCGGTAAGATGAAGTTGGTCGACAGATTGGATCGACCAGAACTATCCATTCTTCGTATTCCTTTTTTGTGCTGGTGTTTTTAAACCAACGGATACACAGGTACAAGCTGTACCATAACATCGTGCTAACGCGCTAGTGAATATTCTTGTCTGAATAGAAACAGGTGAACAATGTATCCATCTGTTCTCATTCCCATTGGACCGTCCTCTATAGACTCATGATATTGGGAATTCATGCTGAACGGTCTATTTCCCTTGGGTCATCTGGATCTAAATTGTTGTTGTTGTTTATGCTTCCTTAGTGGATTTTGTTCATTTGCATCGACGAACTGTCGATGTGGTGCAACTTCAATAAAATTGTTAATTACGATCGCGTCATGTCTGTAGTAATAATCCTTTTCCGTATATTAATCAGTCTGATCAACAGTGAACGCATTCAAGGTCACAAATATTGCAAACCGCTGTTCGGCTTTGTGATTCGATGACACAACACTCAGTTAATAGAACTACCGGGCCGTATAAGTCCTCTATACCAAAATTTGGCATTAACGCCGCCGAGAGTGACGCTACCCACGATTGTTTGATTGTGATAATTGTAACTATATTCATAACCATATCCGTAAGACTGAATAGAATGACAGGGAAACTGTTTACACAGGTCATGAAATCTCTGAGTGTTAGCTACGGCTTTACACAGGTTTTTACGGATAGCTTCATTGCCCATCGGGCTCCAACTCAAGCCCATCCTTATGAGATATTGTGTGATTCACCGCTCCAAGTTCCAGGGTTTTCATTGTCATTTATCACAAGTGTACGATATGTTATAGTAGCTATGGGGATCAACTGTCCGGCGGTCCATGACCCAAAATATGTGATGGAAACTGCATGAACAACCCAGTTTCTTGATGGAATGGATGATGCGTTACCCTAATTAATAAGATTGATTCTAAAAGGTCTTCCAACGAGTTTAAAATGGTATCTAAATCAGTCATACACAAATCTGCCACGAGCAAATCAAACACTACTTTAGTGAGACTGTGGGAGGGAGAACTGATAAACGTGATTTGCGAAACTCAGTTCACCACCACTCTCTTTCCTCAATCCGGAAATACCAAGGACACTAATGAAATTTTAACTTCATTGGAATAGTTGATCGCATCTGTATCAAACGATTCAGGGATCTTCTACGCCTTTTCTCATCAAAATTCAGCCAACCCCCGCAATCCTTTTGCCTCGGCCTGTAATTGTTTGACCAAAATCGGTAATGCAATGGCCTAGACCCACTTATCTAGTAAATTTTTTCTTCCGATAAAGCTTTAGACAAAAGCCGTAATTTTTGAAGGTCGACCGTCGTCTTGCACCGGCAATAAACGGGTGATAGTGATGGGGATGTATTTTCGTGATCGGTGTTTATTATCCTCGGTCTCTCGACATCTGAAGAACTGGTTTTATCTTAAGTGTAGATACGGAACAGTAAGCATTCACTGTTTTGTGGTGTTACTTTTTTTGGATTGGGTTCAAGGCTTGTGAATGCAAAACAGTGTACTTAAGATTTTTACTCACAGATAGTATTGCATGTTATACGGAAACACTGAAGCTGTACGAGATGTGTCAATTGGTTTGACAATATTGGTAAATCCTTTCAACGTTCCCCAATCAACATGTGACCACTACACCTCATTCCTAATCAAGCTTTGTGGCATCAAAATTTGTAGAAAATAAAATGTTTGAACATCCGTTGACCTCAGAATAATCTGATAGTCTGATCTGACAAACGTTTGTACCCCGAGTCTAAAATAACTACGGGTTATGGCTAAAACAGTGCAATGGATTGTGGGTCAAGGCTAAACGACTGTCGGTCTTGGTGAAAGCTGACGGGAAAAGGTGTAGAAAGAAGTATCCCTTTCTGTTAGGCTGACCTTTTCGTTAACTTTTCTTATCTCCTCTGGAGAAATGTTTTGCACTGGGACTCCTTGTCACGTTTAGCGGCATTACAGCTGCACTGAGGAATACATAGTTGGATGCAATACGCAACGCAGTTTCGATCAACGAGGGATTCGACTTGGTCCCCATGACGGCAGGGCACTGTGCACGAAATGATCTGTCACCTGAACAAGCGAAAACGGCGCAATTGGATTATCATTTAGACCGCTACGGCAAACGCGGTCATACAGATCACCTTTCTTATTGTAAACAATGCCTAAGTTGAACGCGTGCGCGTTGCGTCATCAGCTCTAATGGTACTCCTGTTTGGTAGTGGTTTGGAAATCGTTGCTTGTACAATCTAGATAAGGTTTAGCATAAATGTTTGCTCTTCGTAGAATTCAGTTGTATGTTTCACCAATGGACAATCTCAAACCAGATGAATTTTTATCCCGAATTTTCACGTGGCTTTTCATGCTTACAATTTTGTAGTTATCCCTGGGTTCATTTTTGGTTTGACATGAATATTTTGGGGCTGAATTTTTAAAGTGGATATTTTGTACATTATTATTACTATTATTGGTACAATGGAGCCCAGAACATGTACATTACATCGTACTAGCGTTGTGAGATCCTTCTAACATTGCTGAGTAATGTGCTTGGTGCAAAGGTGGTGATGGCGCAGTGGTTTAGTCGCTGTCATCGGCGTGCTTGGGACCCTGTGGCCTGAAATCCGAGCCCCGCCACCCGGCTTTGGTGGTAGGCAGCTCTGCTGTTGTTCGGTTCAGTACCACGCCTAATCTATCGGGGCCTTATGTGGTTCACCACTCCAAGTCCTGGGGCTTAGGTTGCCGGTTTCCATCACTGAATAGCCTGTCCTCGTGACCATTGGGTTCGTCTCGTGTGCTGTTCATCACGCGTGGGTGTGTAATAAAAAAAAGCATGAAGACGCAGTTTGTAGATACGTATGCAACGAATGGTTTTTTTATTGTTACTACAGAAGAGGCAAAGATACTGTCGATTTGTTTGACTACCGTTTCATGAAACTATTCATCAACTGTTTCAGATTATCTGTTTCTTTTTGACATAGTCCTATTTGCCCCTATTTATCCATACCGCTTATCCACTAACCAATTCTCTTAAGCGCGGCACTAGTTTGGTGGATATATGATGCTAGTATGTCAGTGATCCTTTCCATGGTGCAATACCGCATCGGGCACAACAAGAACAGCTAATCCCGTATTTACCAGGACATTGTGAGCACCTTTCTCTGACTCAATTCACAGGAATCGGGTATGAGGTTACCTACCACCAGAGTAGTGTTAATTGAGGAGTTGAAACCACTGGGTTATTGTGTGGCTCAGTTCGATGATGAAAGTCGGTCGATCAGTGGAATGTACCAGTCTTGTTGACCAATAATCGACTCCGGTAACTTTGCCAGTTTCATTCACATCATCTATGTATTGTGACTGATTTCTGATGGTGGTATGTTTTCTTATTCAAATTTGCCCATCCGTCTCTATCTTTCTCTATATGTCTGCGTTACGCTTGCCCATTGTCAACCTCATGTGCCCATGCCTTTCCTTTCGAACTCGATTCAGAGGTCGCTACAGTCAGATGGGAATTTGGGACTTGATTTTCTTTCGTCGAGTCCGCAGTTTACTGGGCGGCCGCATCCGTGCCATCGTTTGTGGCGGTGCCCCGATTTCAACAGACGTGCTTCGATTCACACGCGCGGCATTCTCCTGTCCGGTACGTACTGTCAACCTGTCGGTTACAAATGACTGAGTAAAATGTTCGTTTACCTATACTCACGTGGGCACAAACGGATTTGTCTTGCCTCGCTTCCGGTTTGACTGTGCGTTAATTGATTGCGTTTGAAATAGTTTCTTCCTTCCTCGTTGGGTGTACTCCATCACGCGATTGTCGTGTGATTTTGTGATTTTTCAGTTCACCTGGTTTTCCGAAAGCAAGGTTCCAACCAAGAAAAAGTTCACTTTTGTCAATCAGAAAGAACACTGACCGTAGACGAACATGGATTACAGTCAAGTTCATGTATGCAATTAACGGCATGGTGATGTGTATTGAGTTCACAATATCGGGTTCAGTGAATCAATGATAACACGACAGTGTGAGCGGGACACGTTACTTTCTGGCTGCGACATTGACCGCACCACATCACCCACCCGTTATGTGCTCACACATTTGTGATTGTAATGGCTTGAGAATGAGCTGACCGAAGACATATGTTCGCCTGCGACCTGTGTGCATGTTTACTTTCAGAAATTAGTTACAATTAACCGATAGCTTTCCAAGTCCTTAGTAGTCCCATTGTACATTGTTCCAGCAGTAAGGATATATATTTACATCGCATTGTCCAAGGATAAGGTGACAAGAATGAGCTTTTTGGATGTCATAGAATGCCACGAATGCAGAAAGAAACATTTTTTGCATGTTTTTATTGCTGCATTCCTGTTGATGATCCTTTTGGTTTGATTGCTTCTGTGTTCGAGATGGAGAATCAGTTGTTGCGACCCGGAACCATGTAACTCCATGAATCTAGCAATAATCATTCTCCTCTCGGGGCCACAACCTGCCACCAACGCTAGAAGATCAGTTCGAAGCGACGAATTGCCAGTGCTTATTTCTGAAGATCTGTCTGTCACGGCTCTGTTTGCTCCTTAGCGATGTGCACTGTTCCACTCGTTCTGTCTTTTTGTGCCCCTAGATAGGTGTCACATTTTTCTGATTACACGGTTTGAATTCGAGATAAACTTTCATGTGTACCGGTTACGTTTCAGGTACTTCCCGCCTACGGTATGACGGAGTGCTGCGGCGGGATTAGCATCGGTTATTTCGGTGATTACAGCACCGGTCATGTGGGTGCACTGTGTCCGGAAATGACGGCTAAACTGGCTGACATCCCCGAGATGGGTATATTTGTCAGGCATGATGGAGTTGGTGAGGTAAGCACACCGACACAGGTGTTCTGCGTGTAGTATGTTCAAGTTCCATTTTATTAGTTTCATTGCTTCACGTATACCTTCTACTGAATGCAAAAGCCATCCTCCAACCGTGCCGTTTTCTGGATGTGGTACTTTTAACCAACTGGAAACCTCTACCGTCATGTTTGTTAACGCACCTTCGGAGCCATCGGTCTACTTGTGTGTGTGTGTGTGTTTAACTGCTTCATCCACCGTTTTATTCAATTATCTTCACTTCTAATCAGTCCAGTGTGTCGCAGCCATTGGTGATCGTACATCTACGAATTATCCTTTTAAGTGTAGTCTTCATAAGTTCTCTATCTTGACTCTGCTCTCAGCATTCCAATCTTCTTTCTGCTCTGTATCCAAATGAGAAGCTTAAAGGAGGCCACCGAAACCGCCGCAAGATATATGATTATTAATTATTGGTGGAGAAATTGAAGCCCAAAACTGATGTGTGAGTGGTGTAATCTACTTTTTGTATCCGGTTTTTGGTGAACGGGATTAGGAAATTTGGACCCATTGAATATGAGCCATGAAGCGCAGTTGGAGTAAGCGGGGTTGCCTACTTCCAGGCGTTTTACCCGGATTATGGATAGAGGGAAACCGTCTTTGAAATAGTTCAACTGCGAATCGGTTTTGGTTTGCTGGGACGAATAGACAGCCGCAGCGCATTCTGTTTTGTGAGTTGTGTTTCACACCGATCATCTTACTCATTATAAGCCACGGGATGAACATTGTTCTCGTTGTTCTCGCTGAAAATTCAGCCTCCGGGTGCATAACGCTTACTTTGACTTGACCCGAGTTGTTACCCGCGGTGATTGTTTGACCCCGTTTCACTCTATTTTATATTCCAATCGCTCCGTTCTCTTTTATTCTTGTTGTTGTGTTGGTAGCATGGTATCTCACAAGCCGGATATATATACAGGTAACAGTACACACGTTGATCTCAACAAATGAAAGTAATAGTTATAAACCCATCCGTATCCATTCAGATATAGAGTATGTATACACAGAGGAAGAGTAGTTGGAATTTGTCGCTTGTTTGGCGATGTGACTTGATCAAGGGTTGGTTTGCTTGTAGGATGTGCAAACATAAGCACACTCTGCTGGTGTACCGTTTCGATTTTCATCCTGCGCTCTCGCTCATTGAATCTCCTCCCGTTGTCCGTAGCTATTGGTCAAGGGTGCAAGCTGTACAAGTGGCTACTACAAAGATCCGGAGCAAACGCGTGAGCTAATCGACGCCGACGGTTGGTTGCACACGGGTGATCTGGCCTCGTGGAAATCAGTAAGCTGTTGCTTGCATTACTCTTAAAACGTTTTTGGCCTTTTCTCTAAGGCAGTTTGTGCACAGGCAACTCACTTTGATACCACCGATATTTTCTGGGCTCTCTCAAAGAATTCATTGAGCTTGTTTAAACTGTTGAACAAGCGTTTTTTTCACCGCAGATTCTGTATACAAGTTGATTTATTAGCTAAAACTAATGGTGGAATATCGAAGCATCGTGTTCCTTGTTGCTAATCGATTGTATTTGTTTCTGCATTGTCTTCAATATCTTTTCCGCCTGAGCGTTTTCCTGTGTGGTTGGAACTAAGATGTTTTCGCCCATTTCTTTTATTGCTGCATTAATTTGTCTAGACAGTGTTTTAAAAAACCCAAGTCTCCACCCCGTTCGCTATCCCTATCGGGGTTCTAGTCCGAAGGCAAATCGACACTTCAATCAAGGAAACCTCGCCTAATGTTCTCAATATGTCTGTGATCAGAGACGGATAAGGTAGGATCTGTAAATACCTCCTTATTGTTCACTTGACTCAGAGCAGATATGTGCTTTTCAGTAATTCATTCATTCCACTGTGTTAGTGAACGGGAGTGGAGACAAACACGTTCACCGTGGCGCATTTTGCTTTCATGTCCCGTACATCTCTCTCCCATCCCGCCACGTTCAGAATGGTGCACTGGAAATTGTCGGACGTAAAAAAGCCTCTTTCAAATTGGCTCAGGGCGAATACGTGTCCCCAGACAAGGTGGAAGCTATCTACCAGTTGTGTCCCCTGGTGGATCAAATCTATGTGGATGGAATATCGGTGCACACTTTCGCTGTTGCCGTCCTCGTTCCGAATTGGACTGAATTGCGCCACTTCCTAGCACACTCGTGTCATCCAGACCAAGCTAAAAAAGCTGCGAGGATCAGGGCACGTTCGAACGCAGAACTGAGCTCAGATCCGCAAGTTCGACAGTCGATCTTGAAAGAGCTGAATCGAATCGGTCGTGCCAATGGACTGAAGGGATTCGAACTAGTGAGTGATTCGTTTCCACATCTTGCTCGGTTTACCAGCTTGGTGCCTTTGAATACTATTCATCCCGTATTGATTATTTTCGTTTCATTCACTGTCAGTGAGATTTTGCGGAGGTTACACGCATCACGGTTTCAGTTTGTTTTTTGTTTCTGGTGATGGTTTTCGATATAAGCAACGCGAACAAATATGCGAACGGTTACGGTTGAATAAATCCTCGGAATCCGCCGGCAACGTGAGCTATGCGCTTCGTCACAACTGACAGCATTCGGTGAATTGTCGATGGCTACACATTTTTCATTCTTTTTGACTGATATGGTTGAGTCACAACAACCATGGATGTTGCTATCGTCCCACATTTGATATTCCACAACCTTTAATGTAATCGGATTGCCAGGGTGAGATGTTGCAATAAATCTTTGGCTGATCAGTATTGATCATCAGCGTGTTAGAATAATTGGTTCTGTTATTTCGCAGCCCATGGCTTCCTACATTCACAGAAAAAATCATCGATATGATTCAGTTAGAAAGATCTGCTCCGTGGTTGTGAGCAAGCGGATGTTGAGACAACTATGAACTGACTGATCGGCGAAAATTGTCACTCGCGTTAATTGCCAGAGTTCAGGTTGCGGATCATCAGATAGACGTTCTCCCCAAACACTGCTCTTGATCTCTATTATTGCAGGATCAAATAGTTTACCAGATGACATCGAACCGCTTAATGCGCTCCAATCTCGCCAGCTTTTCCGAAACCCTTTGTGAACCAGGCCTGGCTCCAATCACACACTGTTATTAGTTCAGCCGATACTGCGATTGTGAATACGATTTGCTGTAGCGTTCTCTTCGGCATGTCGTTAATGTTGTCCTAGTGATAGATAGGTCGTTGACTTTGGGAATATAATACCAAATCTATACGACCAATTGTTCTACTTTGAAACATGTCAACACAGCTATAATGAAAACATACATTGTCGCAGTTCGAACGTAGTCCGGAATTCATGGTTTTCATGTAGACCTCTGAGAAAAGCAAAATATTACTTATCCGCAAATCTGTGGAAGAGCGTAAGTAAGATACAGAGAAAAGAAATCAAGCGGTATTTTATGTGAGTAAGTCCTGCATGATGATAAGCTGGCTTTCCCGGGTTCTCTGAGAACAGCTGCCTTTGCGTGGCGGAGCGATTAGCGCAGACTGAGGGCCATTTCTGTTTTCAGCTTCGTTAGCTATACACAGCTTTTTGACAGATGCTCGATATCTTCTTTGATTGTAGTGCTTCAAGTCTTCGACTGACCGCCAATATGATTGTGGCTGTATCAGTTAACTTTCATGATATCACGCAGACACCAGAAATCGAAATTCTCGAGTTTTCGGATAGGCCAGGCTCCCTTTAGACCCGTACCTTAGTAAGAATGATAATTCCAATGCGCGTTCATAGCGTAGTTGGATTTCGTCTTTGTCCCGGTCCGTTGGGTGAGCCGAGTTAACGCAAGTCACGAACGCATTCCAATGGTTTGCAGTTCATTGTGAGATGTTGTACTGGGATCACTGCCGCCAAACGAGTTTATATCCAAGCTAATTTCCTGATAAGGCGGTCGAGTGACTGGTAGTTAGTATCTCGTAGAAAAACATTCTTCCTCGAACTCGAGGTTAAATTGCTCATTGCAACACAGAACAACCGGCGAAGGCACGGTTCATGCTCCCATCAATGGCATTGCCCCACAGCATCAGAGACAAAGGAACACCTTGTAAACCTCCGAGTTGAAGGAAAATTTGAAGAAATCTTGTATGCGGGCGTAGATTCGGACTCCTGCACAAATTCGTCGCTCGCCTGTTCGATGTGGTTCCCATATGCAACAACAGTGACCAAGATATAACCTTTATACTAGAGGTTATTGTGTATATATCGAACCCTCTTGTTGTAAAGAGTGGGCCACCGCCTCTTATGTTGAATTTACATGAACGTTCGATAGCATGTTCTGAACGATAATCAAGATTGAATATAGTGTTGATTTTGATGGGTTCTCCGACTTCGCAGTCGCACTGATGATGTCTAGTCTGACCACGAAACGTCTGCAACCAGCAATTCCAGTTCGGAGAACCCATCTGTCACCAATGCTTGTCCAAATGACTGGATTTGTGGCGTTTTAACACTTCCATACCCTGTCATGTCTCTGTTCAATAGTTTGACATTTCTATCTGTTGAGAGATCTGTTTCTCCCGGTTTCTAATTGAGAACTGTGGAGAAAGTTAGTATGAGATAATGCTCAGTCTTTTCAATATTTTTCTTCAACGGTCCACAGCAGGTATGTTACTGGAATGTGTTTAATATGATCCATTGGTAACTATGCTGTCACATGGGGATGCGCATACATCCGATCTAATTGTCATTCAATGCGGATACCTTGTCTTTCGCCCAATCTCAGGTCAAAGCGTTGCACGTGTCCACGGAACCGTTTACCATCGACAACGAACTGTTGACTGCCAATATGAAACTGTCACGTAGCAATCTGAGACGCCATTTCTCCGCTGTGGTTGAACAAATCTATCTCGAGAATCAGTGTTGATTGAACACACACGCACAGAGATAATTTTATTCGCACAAGCCCGAATTCTCACATCCGTTTTCTAACTCACTTCCCATCTTCACTGTCTGTTGTGCTCGCGCAATTCTCGTACGTTGCATTTTTGTGCGCCCTCTTTTGTCTTATTGAGTACATCCAGTTGATATTCTCGACCAGATACTCTTTGAATGTGCCCGGATATTTCAAGTTTTAATGTGGCTCATCTGTTTCTCTCCCCTTTTTCTTTCTATCTGTGTTCTGAAATCAATCTTCGTTTGCCATACACTGTTTTTTTTTGGCGAATTGGCCTCCTCACACTCATTGTGTTTCACACCGAGTTCGTTCCCTGTTCTTTATTTTGATATTTCAAATATATCTATCGTAAAGATTCAATCTAATCATAATTGGACACTCACAGCATGTGATTTGATCCGCGGATGTCCACTCACGAAGTCAAAAGCTGTAGTGTAGTGGGGAATCGGTACACTATCGTCTGTAGATTGTTTAGTTGTATGAGTTATGCGAAGGTGGTTAGTTATCACACATTGACTCGGTTGTCGAATCCTGGCGGGATTAAATGAGCACTGTCTCATTGGCTCGATTCATACGACTTGTAGCAAAATAAAATTACCTGTGGTGTGTGTTCCTGTCTGTCTGTCGGTACTATCCTGGCTCATTGTGGACTCATATTTGACTGGAGGCCTTAACATACGCTGAACACATCACTTGTAAGGAGTGATGAAAGTCGCCGGAAAGTCAGAGTCGTAGATTTTTGTAGTATTCGGAATAGGATTCGAAATCGAATAGAGCGAACTCGGTATCGGACTGAAAACCCGCTGAATAGCGCAAAGTCAGGTAGAACCAAGACGCGCTGTGGATACAGTTAATTCGATTCAGAAAATCATGGAAATATATATCACAAGCATCAAACAATCATTGGTCGATTGTTCAATGTCCAATCGACAAGGATATGGTTTATCTGTTTGCCTTCTTGCACTCAGCCAATCCGGATGATGCCAATTGAGAACACAGGGCTGGTCGGTTATCCCGCTTCTTGATTGGTTACCTGGAGACTGTATCACGGTGCGTGCGTACTCGTTACACGATCACCACAATTTTACATGCTTTATTTGTTCGTCCTTGCGGTCAATAATCGGTTAATTAAACAGTAGAGTACATCTGACCAATTTTGATTGAGTCATAGTGTAGGCTGACCCAATGGTCTCTTTGCCTTTCGATATATATATATATATATATATATATATAAATATATATATATATATATATATATAGGTTAACTTTGTTGGTCGTCCGTTGTGTTTATGAGACTCGAAGAAAATATATTACAAGATTTTTAAATAAGCTTCAATCAAGAAACAGAGTTAGTTTAGTTTATTAGTTAGTTTATTATTTTTCAGATATATGCTTATCCTGCCACCTGGATGGTCCATCAAAGAAATCCTCGGCTATAGGAAACAATTTAGGACATAGGATTCTTTTATTGAAGCATACTCACCATGCATAGTTACGATGTCACTCGTCACTGCAAGGGCTGTACGGTTCTCGATGTGAATCGGCGACAGCATTACAAATTCACTGGGATTGAGACCCGGACACACAGGGTTGCTATCCCGACCACACTTGTACTTTGTAGGTTGATACAAAGCAGCCGGTTACAGGTCAATACCACACTGAGATTAACTAAACCAGACTATACCTTTTTCAGTTTAAGCTGTCCGAGTGTCAATTTAAGATGTCATGTTGCTATGTGGATAGTACCTTGCATGGCACAGAGTGAAAACGTTCGATGGGACCCCTGTTTACTCAGATCCATGTGCTTCCTACATGCATACTGATCTATGGCCCCCGAAAATTTCTCTTTTGCTTGGTCAAGTGAGAAATGTAGTCATCGTGTGAGAGACCCCAGCAAACCCTAATACTCTCCTTTTTTCGTATTTAACCAAGCATTCATCGGTCTGCACATGGTGGTATAGCTTTGACTGAATTGTGGGTTGCATTGTCCAATCCAAGTGTGTGCAAACACGCAGACAAGATAATCGTCGGTGCATATTTTTGTTGAGCGTGAGACGATATTTTCGGGGGCCATAGATCAGTATGCAGATAGGAAGCAAATGGATTTGGGTAAACAGGGGTTCCATCGAATGTTTTCACCCTGTACTGTGCAAGGTACTATCCACATAGCAACATGGCATCTTAAATTTATAGTCGGACATCTTAAACTGATAGTGTTCAGTCGCATGATACAGGAATTTTATCGAATAGGCCAGCTGTTTGCATCGAAAGCCGAGCACGTGTTTTCGAGGAAATTCATTTTGAGTATCAGTCAAACGGAGAAACGATAAGTGTGTCGGATTAATAACCCCATGTCCCCGGGTTCCAATGGATTAGCGATTCCCTAAGAACCTGTACCGGGCTTTTCAGCCCTGAGCCATTCGTTGATACTGTATGACTAATATATTTCCACAGTTAATACATGGGTAAAGTTATCATCAGCCTAATGACCTCATGCAGTTTTTGAATACCACGGTCCCTTTACACAATATGTTCCGTGTCATTGTGTATTCAACGAAAACAAGAGGCAGAAAATAATTGCATATGATGAACTCCATCGTTTGACAATGTGAAATCGGCAAATAAAGGCGACCGCGAGAAAATCGGTCTAAAACAGTGCCTCNCAGTGCCTCTGGATAATTAATGCCCCTTGATGACTATTCATTTATGCAATTGAAGAGTTATGTGAAAAACCGAGGACAACCAGGATATATATATATATGTGTGTGTGTGTGTGTGTGTGTGTATGTGTGTGTGTGTATGTGTGTGTGTGTGTGTGTGTGCATACCCATTTAATTCAAAGACAACCACATCTCGGAACTAGTTACTATAGAAATCAAATCAAATCAATCTTCGACCCCGTCCCTCACACTTCATGTTGTTTTATTTGCAACCAATCGATGGGCATAAGGAAACGGTGTGAGTTATAATTCTATACCATCATTTGACCAAGGAGCATTGCAGGCGTATAGGACAGCCCAACGGACAGTTACTTCAGCCACTTGTCCGGCTTTCATCTGTATGATCATGCGTGGTTTAGTACAGCACATTTTAACAAGACAGACGTATATATACTGCAATTGGATTGTCCTAGGGAAAAATTTGTGGTTATACTCCATTCTATCCTCATCGGAGAACTTCCATCTAAGTCAACTCAAATGACGCCAACTGGGTGGCGATCAAAGCGAAAACTGTTCCTATGAACGCCTCTACGAAAGTTGTTCCGGAAAATTGAAGATTAGACGTTATAATTCCCTTATGCCCAAAATGGTTGCATTTCCATACGTAACCTCTATGGTCCAACCACGTTTATTTGTACATGAGATATAAATACGCACACATAACTGTAAAGGCCTGAAGACGAAGTTACGAAAACAAGCTTGTTCGCCATACTTTTTTGCTTTTGATATTCATATGGGAATCTTCCGTGAAATCCCTAGTAGTTAGTGATTTTTCGAACTCAGTGGGACATGGAG